TTCATCTCCTCCTCACTCCACTCCCTTCTTCTTCCATTTCTTTCTTTCTTTTCACATCCTTGCCTGCCTGCTTCCCTCCACTCTCCCTCTTACCACATCTGTCTCTCCTCTCCCCGTCCTTTTCAACACTCTCGTTTCCCTCTTCTCATCCTTTCTGTCCTGCTCGTGTCTCCCCATTACCAGGTATCCTCCTCGCTTCTTCCTTTCCATCTTCCCTGATCCGTGTCTCTGCTTCCTTTCCTCTGCCTTGCTCTCCCTCCCTCCAGGTCCTCTCAGGCCTGCCTCAGATGATGCGGGAGTGCTGGCACCCCAACCCCTCCGCCCGCCTCACCGTGCTGCGGATCAAGAAAACCCTACAGAAACTCAGCAACGGTCTCCAGAAGCCCAAAGTGATTCACTAGCCATGGGCCTGATGCTGCCTCCCCTCCTGCAGTGTGTGCGGGGTGGGTGGTGGATGGTGGCCTGTCTGGGTAGAGGTTGTATGACTGTGTGTACTGGGGAGGAGGGTGCCCCTCTGTGGGCAGCTGTGTCTGCCCAGCTCGGCCCCCAGCCCATCCAGCCAAAAATACAGCTGGGCTGAAACTTGATCCTCCGCCGTCTGGCCTGTTCAAGGCAGCAGGCTCCCTGATGCCTGGCTCCCTCCCCACCCCTGCGCTCTGGGTGCACCCCCTACTGTCCCCAGGACAGGATGCAAAAGAGGCTCCAGAGCCAGGGTGGCCAAGCCAGGGAACCCCAGTCCCAGGCCCAGAGCCTGGGTCTGCACTTTACCCCCTTCCCTCAGTCAGACCTGCCAGAGCTGCCAGGGTGGCACAGGGCCGTGTCCAGCCTTCAGTAGACACCCTGCCTTGCCAGGCTCAGTATCTGGCACAAGCCCCAGACACCCAAGGCCCATCAGTTTTTCTCCTGGGTTTATATCTCAGCTCTGTGCCGCCTTGGGCCTCTGTCTCTTGGACCAGACCCCCGCTGGCTGAATGCTAGCTGCCTGGGAGAGCTGAGGTCTGATCCCGAGCCCCTCCCCTACTCCCTCCCAGCAGACTTACTATGGCTTTAAACCCAAGGAGTCTTGCTGTGGGTGTGGCAGAGTCATAGGCCAATGGAGAGGTGGTAGATCAGATGGGCAAGGCCCAGGACTTTTCAAATAAATGGAGAGGATGTCGAGGCCAAGCATGGCCAGGGAACAGCTCATCTGGGAGTCAGGAGATCCAGGCTCTGGTCCTGGATGCTTGATCTTGTGACAAGAATGAGGCTTTCACTGTCCTAGGACCTTTGTTTCTTCATCTACATATTGAAAGATTTGGTCCTGATGTCCTTTGAAGTTTTTCTCAGCTCTAAATTTCTTTGAAATTTCAGCTGTGTCAGAACTCAGTTCAGCAATCCCTTCTACATCTTATGCCCCAGCTCCTGGCAATTTGCCTCAAGATGAGGATTTGAAAATCACTTTATTTGAGGCCAGGAGTGTCTGAAAGGCCTCTTAGTCTAATTCTGCAAGCTCCAGTTCCTGCCGTAACCCATGCTGGTGGCCGTCCTTGGGCTTAGACAGCGCTGGGACTTCTTGCAGGCAGGCCAGCTGCTCACCATCTCTGTGGCTTCATCTTCTCTGCTCAGGATAGAGAGGGGCCAGGGGCCAGCTTCCTGCAGGGTCTCCAAGGCTCAGAAGAAATGTAGCTCTAGCCAGCAAGCCTCCAGCACCCAGGTTCCTGCTCCCTACTGGCCCCTGGCACAAGCCAATACCCTTGGCCAGGCCCGAGAGGGTGTGTATCTAGGAAGAACCTGGTGGCTGTAGAGAAACACATGAAAAGTTCAGCACTTGGAAATATCAAGGGTGTATGTCCATGCACTAAGGAAGTTACCCCAACCCCTAAGCAGATGGATAGGCTGGAGGGTGCTGGGTTGGAGGTAGGGCCTGAGGGGTTGGGCAGTAGGGGATGGGGCTCAGGCTAGGGACACAACATCCCCAATCGTGGGAAGACCTGGCCTTGCAGCCCTCAGCCCTTGGGACAGGGTGGAGAAGGACCCTCAGTTCTCCACAGGAGAAGGAAACAGCCTCCTCCCCTCCTGCTGTAAATGCCCCACAGAGCCTCCCCGGAAGGGGTTCCTTCAGTGTTTCTTTCACCATCAGCGGCCCTTTCCCAGGCCTGCCTCCCAGCATTGTGCAAGGCCTGGAGGAGAACCAGGAAGTGAAACTGAGTGAAAACAGAAAGCTACATGGACCTGCCAGGTTCCCACATCATCTTGGGGCAGTTTGCTTCCCAGCAGTGTCGTGTCTTCTGGTCCCTGCAACCCACCCAGCCCAGGAATCAGGATACTCCTGAAGGATTTTCTCTTTACTGGATTTGGGGGTGAAAAGTCTGAGACTCCATAACCAGAAACTAAAGGCAGCAGCCGCCCAAAAGCAGGAAAATCCCTAAGAGAAGAAGGTCTGAGGCAGGAGGTGGCGTGATGGGGGAGGGTTGAGAGAAGGGGCCAGGGTTGGGAGAACCACCAGCGGCCTGGGGGGTAAGGAGGCATTGGTGACAGTGGTCTGCAAAATGCTGCCGTCTGAGTTCAGGCTGGTGTTCCAGGGCCGAAATTCCAGCCGCCTAACCTGGGGACACTGTTTTTGGGAGCATTGAGCTCGTGCTTAGCACATAGTGCGTCCTCAAAATAAACCATGGTTGACACTGAAGCTCCTGCTGAGTCTTCCTAGGCCTGTGCCTCTGCAGTTGCCCCTTCGCAGAGGGAACCTGAGAGGATGAGGAAGGAGAGGGTCCCAGGGTCTCCTGCCTGGGCTTTGCCCTTAAGAGAGAAGTCAGTTTGCACAGGCCCCGC